TTGAAAAAGCTTGGACCAGATTGCCAGGCGAAACGTTGGATTTAATTTAAAAAAATTCATTCGCTGAGATTTTACAAATATATTATTCCTATTTAATATATTGTAGACATTTAGTACGTAATAAATATGTTTAGCGAACAAGTCTTTCGACTTGTCGACCACTGTACATTTTCCACCTTACAATGTAATATTACGTGATACATTTTCCTAAATTGTCTACCCAACGACTTTTTGTGATGGTATAAACAATAATGTCGAAGTTCTGTAGTCATGATTTACGGTCTGTTTCTTTGAGAGAGGACACATCTTTTCAACTAACAAAAAACGTTGTTAACTTAGTTTTAATATACATGCATGAGTTTACATCTTCTTTTTAGCTCCTTGATGAGTCTTATTTAACCAGTGTTCAATCTGATTTTAAGTTACGGGATAATCCATTCAAAATTACGAATCATGAATAGTCACAGTCGTCATACTAATTTCTATTGCTTGTTTAACGCAGATCATTCAGTCAGCCATCCAAAGTAAAACCTAACACATGTGCATCCACTCAAGTTCGCACATCACATTAGCACAGCACGATAAATCCCTGTGTAGTAGAAATAGTAACAGTATCAGTAGTAATAGAAATTATTAGGTATAGAAAAAAAGAAGGGTATAAGGAGATTTTGATATTCAGATTCGAAAGGAAGACAAAGTGGACGCACCTGCGCCATTGCGAACGATTCTGGGTCATGTCATCTAAAGTCTCTGATCATTGGTTAACATAATCACGCGGACCCTAACCGTGTAGTTTACTCTTATTAAAAAGGCTCAGGCCAACAATTAATGACTTCAAACATTGAGGCTAAGCTTTTGTTTTGCCGTCTCCACCTTTCAGTCTACAACTGACAACATTACCCGTCAAAAAAGTCAACGGTTGAGAATACATAACTCATGTCTCAACCACTTCAATTGGTGAAGATTTATTACTCCATCAGCCAGCTCGCTATCTTTACATAGTACCTCAGTATTGCTCGCTCTGTAGTCACAAAATACACAAGCGACGAGACCTGTCCAATTTTATGGAGTTATATACGCCGCAATTAAAAAATAGTTGCATGCCCTTAAGCCATAAGAATCACGATTTTAGCGCGGAGAAAAGTCAATATGATAAGACAACATTCATAACTCAAAGTCCTAACCATACACTTAGCTTCAAGGAACTCTAGACCTCTTTGTGTAATTATTTACAATTCACCAGTATAATACGTATCACTGAAAACGCTTATAACTATGGGTGTTTGTTATGATGATTATTCTAAACTGCTTTTTCATAGGTGGCCTGAAATCAACAAATGATTTACAACAGGTGCTAGATGAAATAATAAAAATGGATCCTTCTTTTAATTTGGAGTCATTTATACGTTATTGCCGATTTATCGTTATTCCGAATGTACTTGAGGTATGTACAGTACATCTAAAATGTATTGTGTTAAAATATGACAAACTGCTTATCATAATTTTTTAAGTTTCAAGTGATCATTATTAAGGTAATGTTATTATTCCAAAATACTTGTTACAGTGTTAAAGAGTAATAATTGCTCTGCACAAAAAAGTTTATATTCATTTAAAGAAACCAAAAAAAAATTATTTACTCACAACAAGAATTAGGGATTTATGAAAATGAGAATAAATTAGTATACAAATAAAATTAATTTCATTTAATTTGAAACTACACATTACTATTTATTTTCATCCTTAAACATGCGGATTTATTCTTTGCAAGTCGACAGCTCTTATGGCATTTAATTCACAAAAAATAGAAATATATTATACCCACGAGATCCTAGGTGTTCAGTTAATCTTGTAGAATGTCTTATATATTTTGGCTGGTTCAATCGGGTCTACTTGACTAATATATAGTTTCATTAAAGGTCTTAGTAATTTAGGAGTTTCATTATTGATACTATTACATATACTACCCATCCGTAAACTGAATCTTTCGATGTACCTTAGTGTAACAGTCTAGCACCAAAAACAGTTAAGCCACCTAAAAGGGTTGTTATTATTCTTGTCCATATGAGGAGGAACTTTTATGTTTTCAGAAATCGCATGTTACGATTTGTGGCATATTCTTACTCATTTCCTATATTAGCTTAAAAACAAACGGAAACTATCCTTTCACTTATTGTTCCATTTTCATGTTTTTTTTTCACACTGTGCAGATGTATATTTATTTGTACTTATGCAGAACGTTACTAAGTTACAGAAGCTCGTTCCCATCTTTTAAAACCAGTCTAAATTCTTGATAAAAAATGAATACAACTGGGCTATGTTTATCTTTTTCAACCTATAGTTAAGTTAATAGCAGTTCTACCATTATTATTCCCTGATGCAGTTTAACTTCATTAGAAACTCACTTAAATATTAGTTATTCAGCTATTATCTCCTTCACACATGCATAGATATACGTCTTACTTTACAATTACGTTTCTCCACTCATATTTCTTTTCTGGTTGTCAGATTCTGTTCGTTGAACCAATATGTGTACACTTTAGGAGAATGTAGCTTCCAAACAACCCGTTCAAATTATTTGCCAGTTTTGGTTTACCATATTCCACATTTTGCAGCAAAATATCATGTTTATATGATTTCTGTAACTATGTCTCATAAAGACAGTCAACTAATAGGGAAATAGACAGTCCTAGGCATAATTACATACATATCAAGTATCAAAAGTATTAGATTTATAAACTACTCCGAACTTCCAAATAGCCCATTTTATGTGGTTGTAAACTGCATACACTTATAATACTGGTATCTCTATTATGATTACACACATAGTTAGCACCCTGAAATGACTACATGATGACTTATAATCCACTAGGTATTTTTTATAAATACTGCGCTTATAAATTAGATTATAGGTATCAATGCCAAGGTCGGACTTGATAGTTCTAAATAAATTGAACATTGGGTAGAAAGTTAATAGTACATTTTTTGTTATATCCCGCTTCTTCAGAAGTAGTTTACATTAAATCACGAATCGTCGGAAATACAATTTTCCTACTTATTGGGATATAACAAAAAATGTATTCATTATTGCACTTATAGTCTACCCCTCTTCTCATGTTACATAATGCAGTAATTATAAATATTATCGCTCTCACATATTTCATTTTAAATATATATTTTTTCAGAAATATTTCTACTATAGCATAGTCATGTTCGTCTTTGCGAGTAAAGTATCTTACCCATGTGATATTCAAAACTTTTAACCTTCGTGTAAACTCATTGTTCTGTTATCTTTTGGTTATCTAAAAAGTTTTCTAAGCTCTCGTGGAGAATATATTTCTTGCTCGAGACCTTTTTATTATTAGTTTTTTCTCTATATTTAGGCTATAGTAAGGGGAGACTTACGTATTCTCCACGATTGGTGTCATGAAGCGGTATGTTTTCTGGTTCTTCTAATATAATTATTGTTTTAATAGCCGTATAATGTTCTGGCAACACCTTTAAAACAGATGAAAGAACTTGGGTATATTTCTGAATCTCGCATATTGGATGTACATAATGTTGATGTGAGTTCATTTTTTACCCCTTATCTTAATTTTATATTATTTGTCGCAAACGGTAATTCATGTTATGTAATTCATTACTTATTTGTTTGATAAAAACGGTATGTGGACTGTTCGATCATGTTTAAAATTAAATTATTAATAGAATTCGCATAATTTCCAAGTTTTAAACTTACATACACTTGCACGAAATGGGTTTTTCATTCTTATTCCTGGTTATACAGGGAAATGAAGTTTAGTGCCTTTCTTTTTACCGGCGATAACTGTTGAAAATGTACTTATGACTAGTGTTATTTCTGTTACTGTTATGTGACTGTGGAGTGTTTGTGGTGGACCAAAATGTTTGATAACCAAAAAATTTAGCAACAAAAATATTATGTCTATAGTTTATGTAACAATTAAGAGTTAATAAGTAATTACACACAAAAATAACAAAATAAGGGACGTTACTTAAGTCTTCAGGCTATTGCGTGTTCGGCTGGGTTTGGTCCAGATACTCCACAATTATAACAAAATTAATAATCCCAATATGGACGATATAGATCCAGTAGTTTTACCAAGCGTAGAATTCAATAAGAATGTCGCAATTGTCTATAAACGTAGATGGTATGCAATTAATATTTCATTCAACATATTAGCAGACAGGGCAGAACGATGCAGACGTGAATTAGAGTGTATTTGTTGAGGAGAATTAACAGTGGCACGGTATGTTGTACTCAAAACGGAAGGAAGGAGTGTTACAAGCGTTCAAAGTAATACAGTTAAACAACAAGTACAATTGTTTAATGCTTAATGTACAGAATATGAAAATACATGCGAAAACTATGAAAAATTATTTACAAAATAGGTTTTTAAGGTTCTATCTCCACATGTTGAACTAACTTGAGCCTGATACTGAGACCCTGAGTCCAACGATGCGTAGTGAAAACCAAAAATGGGCATTAATTTTTATTTGACTCCCATAATGAAGCATACATACACTACTTTCTATATGATCTTTGTACAGTCAACCAAGACTGATCAAATCTCAGTCGAAACTATAAACAACAGGATAATCTAGATCACTTCAAATTGAATTGAGTTTCGTATCCGTTGTATGAATGACTGTCTGGATTCGGTTGATAATTAGATAACATGATGGCGTTCGAAGCGAATGGCACCGTGTCAAAGTCGCAGTTTGAACTTCCACTCAGGTGCAGTTACATCTAGCTGACGAGTCCCATATAGGACGAAGTGCATTGCAAACCACATTCTATCTATTATGTATCAATTTGTATAGTCAGATTAACAATTAGATATTTTAATTTGACTGAGTAACATTTACCATTAGTTAATCAATAGTTGACCTATTTCCTATTATGTAACATTCATTCAAGCCTTTATTATTCTTATCACAACTAGTACACCTGTCATTACACTACCAATTTGTACTTTTCACTTATTATTATTTTTAGTTATGTAATCTATTCCGCTGTTATCATTGACTCATAAACTGTCTTGATTGGTTTAATAATTTCGTATATGCATATAAATATTACTTTATATTAGAGTAAAGCCTGATGAGAATCTAATAGAAAACAATATTGTTCGCTTATATACGTTGTTCTAATTCAACAGTTTACCATGTCAACACATTTGCGATATCATTCTGACCTAATTTTGGTCTTTTGGTTCTGTCATATTGATTAGGTCATTTGTTGTCTTATAAAAGCTGAAAGACAATCATTTAGGTAATTAAAATCCTCACTGGTTTATGTGCCGTATATGGTACTAAGGCGTTACAATTTTGGAAATTCATAATTTTGTGATTTGAAAATTTGCATAGTTTTCATCGTGTTGATTCTAGGTTCAAATGGGCAAAATGATGGAGCAAGGACCAGTGCTGATAATCACATTCCAAGCACAACAAATAAATTGTATTCTTGATAAAAACGGAAATTTGCATGAAGGTGATCCAAATAAAGTACTACGTGTGACTAATGTTTGGGCTTTGTGTCGTGATCAAAGTGAAATGAATCCATTAGCTGCATGGCGTGTGTTAGATATTGCCATGATGCCATCTGAACAATGGATGTGATAATTGTTCTTATACAGCATCACAAATTGTGTATTTTAAATAAGGATTGATAAATATCTTGTTATTAATTTTCCAACATTGAAAATGTATGTACAGCTTGATTACCTAATCTCTTGAACAGCAATGCTTTTTCAATCTCTAGACTTCATAGAACACGCAAAATTATCATCTAAACTTTAGTCGATTAAGATTTTGTGCATAATTTCTTAATTTGAGTGACTTTTCTTCTACATAAAGCATTTATATGTAAGTATTAAACTAGATTTTAGTCAATACAATGAACTTATGCTTCGTTTGTTCGAGCAGTTTGAAACTATTTTTTGTCTTTTTTTGCATCAAACATTTGTATTCTTTCTCAATGTACTTCTTGCGAATTATTTTATACATAATTCAATATTTCTCCATAACTGATAAGGCTAAACAACCAAATACCAATGGGATGATCACGTACTAGACAGAAGTAATCTTTTGAGCATATACATCAAAGATGAAAGTGCTGAGATTTCTATTCCCCTTCACAATTTTTTGAGTAAGTTGTTTCGGACTAATACATGTGTATATATTTGATGAGGGCAATCTAAGACTTAAGTTACGTATATAGCTCAATTAAGATGTTCTGTACGGTCTTATTAAAATCATAAGTAAGAAATATGACTCAGTACAATTACAGTTGCTAAATGATTAAATTATAAAACGTACAAAATATCGCAGATATTGAAAAGTACTTTGTTGTAAGTTTTTGCTTGATACTTGTTATTGGTTTAACATGCACACCATACATTTTGCCTTATGTAACGGGAAACCATCAACCGTAGACTTTGATCATCAAGCAGGTAGCACCTGACACACCTTAGACCAACATGTGATGATTTTCTAAGCCAATAGGATGTCTGGTCTAGTTGTTTTTGCTTTTTATTAACTTAATTATCATGCCAATCGCTGTAGCAGATCTTTTAATCTCAGTTGTCGGTGGTCTGACTATTGCTTACAAGTACTTTATACCAAAGATTGACATTTCTCATTATCCCGTTTAAATGTACACTATAAGTGACGAGTACGCATGTGACCAAAACAAGAATATCATACTTCAGATAAAGAACGTTGGATCTCTGTACTAAGCTTCTTTCTGATTTATATATTAGACCCCAATTGTCTTGACATATTGGAGAGTAGAAAAAGCGCTTTTCCTCTTGAAAACCTCGTACGGACGTGTGTTTACAGCCTTTTTCAAGTAAATCTTACTGTTTTCATATCGGTAAAGATCCTTTTACATAAGTCAGGATGTGAAACCAGATGGCACGATCGCTCAAGTTTAGTGTTACGAAACCCAGAAGAGCTTTTATAAATTTCGGTCGTAGAATGTCGGTAATAGTTTCTGTGAGACCATCTCTGCTTCATGTTAATGGAACATGACCCTAGATCATTAGTCTGAAAGATTGTTCACATTCGGTAGGGACACTATATGAGTAATCTCGAAGTCCTACAATGTGTTCAGACGAATGAAGATAAATGTAGTGGTAAAACGATCTTGAAGCGTCGGTTTAGGCTACGCGGATAAGCTATATGAATGTCATCTCAATGGATTCAGCGTCACGTACCTTTTAAAGATTCCTCAATTGAGTTCAGAAATCGGCAGTAACCGACTAATGATAATTCGCCGTGTAATAAAATATAGCTTTATAAAAGTCCCATGTACCAATCCACCGAAACTGCGATGGGCCCCGAAAACTAGGTAACTCACTGTCTTGCGATTTTATTAGGGATGGTCCAAAAAAGATAATAGTGATCCGGCTGTAACTATACATAACCTTTATAAAGTCAGATGCACTTTCCTGATGGGAAAGTAATCTGTCCTGGGTTTTTTTCTTAGAAGAGGTATACATTTAAGTAATAACTTTTCTTTTTCATTTCCCAATTACATGATCATCTCTTTTGTTTCGTCCAAGGTCTCATCTTACATATTGTAATTCTGTATTGTACCAAAAAATGTTTTTATAAGTATATATTGAAACACTTGACTAAATCATTAAATAATAAATAAGATATTATCTAAAGAAAACATCTAGTGTTCGCATCTTTATGTATCTTCTTGAAGTGCTTCTAGTAGTTTCTCCCGTTTTATTTCTATTTCTGTTAATAAAAATATCCTCAAATTTTGATCTTCAATCTGATTAATCTCTTTCTGAAGCTTGTTTACCATTTCACCAAAAACCTTGCCTTTATCCTTAAAACTGGTGTTATCATTTGACTCCTTGATTCTCTTTATGTGGTACTTAAATAGGTTTTCTGCATATTCAACCCACACACAGTTTGCGCATCCAGATTCACAACAATCGGAACGGTGTGGCGGTTCTGGTTCAGAATCAGTATTTGAAAAATAGTTTCGTCTCCATGGACGTATTAACCAATTGGATATAGTAGAATGATTGAAATTCATTTTACGTAATAAACCCATGTACACTCACTTCATGACATGTGTATAAAACAAAACAAAATGAATAGAAGTTTTATAGTGATTAAAGCTTGTAAGTGAACGGATGATTTTTAATACAAATTGTGTACTCATTTAATGAATGATGTACTATTCATATAATTAATGTATATTGAGTTATCAAAGGTGATCGAAATAATCAGTATATCTACGATTTCTGGTTTGTATTGCATAGTTGTACAAAATGTAAGATATCTGGGAAATATACCAGTGAAATAACTGAGTCAGATAACCTGCCAGGGAAGTCATACTCACTGCCTTCTTGTGGCGTGGGTGTTGTTTCCAAAATTAAGAGTACGAAAATCGAATGTCCGGCGCTTTAACCGGGCCAGTGCACACGGAAAGTCCATCTAGGGGAGTCGGGAAACCCTGATTTCAAACTAATGGTGAGCATGGGCTCCGGTATTCCGAAGGAACAAATGGCGTATGAATTAATCGTTGGTCTCCGGCTACCATGGGACTGCATCTTTTCACGATACTCCACTGCCTTATGGATCAGACCTTTAGGTCAAAGGCTTCGGGTGTGGCCCCCCAAGAAAACCACCTGCTTCAGTTTGGGCACCTGGGCAGTATCACAGCCCTCACACAAATCACATGAGATCTGTGTGGCGCATATGTATCTGGTGCCCCCTTGTACCAATATTATTGTGTTTAAATAAATAAAACTTTTAGACGAGTTTTGTAAGCAGTATGAGAAAAACCTGAAAGATTCTGGAATACTAATGAACTAACTAGGTGGGTGAAACCTGTATTTACATTTGTTTATAAGCTAAGCATATCTTCTAATTATCCCATGTCTTATTCATATGGCGCAATTATTAGAGTTCACCTGACGTAAAACTATATTCACTGATGTTTCGACTTGAACATTGGTATCCCATGTCAACGTTTTCCCAAAATTCAAGACTAGAAAATCCCATCTTAGTGGACGCTTTGCGGACAAACGAATTACCTGGTTTGATGAGGGAATAGTCACATGAAGCTAACAAACAGAAGTTAACTGATCACGGATACTCTTAGCTAACATCAGATTAGCAAAGAAATGGGATTGACGAATATAAGCATAACAGTTACATGACCAGTATATTATGTAAAGGTACTATAGCTTAATGATACAAGAATTTCACTGTGCGAACTATTGCTAACGGATGTTGAATTAGTAGAATAATCCCAAACCATACACATAACATGCATGCAAAATCAACATTTCGCGTACAGATAATACTTCAGTACACAAAGTAATTTCAAATAACATTTATTAAGAAAGAAAAATACAATAAAAATATTTCGATTGTATAGTGGTTTAGCACTAGCTGAAACTTGATTTCGCAAAAAATCACATTACAAGTGATGTGCTTCTTTTTTACTCCACTGAAGATGAATCTGTTTCAGACGCTGATGATATTTTTCGGGAATATTTAACTCTGGATAAACAGTAAGAAGTTCGCCTGAATTTAGTAACTCTTGTAGGTTACGATACACGTATGATTCGGAATCTATTGATTTTACATCGTGTCCAGTTGTTGAATTGTCACTTGCACATAAACATGATAAGCCAGAAAGAGAAAGGTAAGTATGTAGTGGATCTAAAATAAACAAAGAAATTACAAATAAACAGTATGCTATAAATTACCAAAAGTAAATATATTAAGTATATTCTTATGAAATTATATTCTTTAGAAGAAACTTCATGATTTTTACAAGTAAATATCTGTAGAAACACTAAATTTTGTCAAACAAATATCGACATAGAACTTAAAAAGATGTACGTTGTTTTATGTTGCCATGGCATATTAGCTATGTGAGATAGAAATAACACGATGAATATTTAAGTATATCGAAGCAATCAGTGATAAGAAAGATTAAGCATTGAGAATATGGTTTGGACAAATGAAGTAGGTCTGTGTGAATAGATACTGAAATTCAAGATCAAGAATGAGTACATCTGCGCTATTGGGAACGACAGCACTTTACACTGCTGTTTATTAGAAGATAGCATAGGCTAACTACCGGACAATCAACATTATGTTCCCTGACTTAAGATTCATAATGATGCATTTTGTGATAAACGTTGTTGTTTAGTATTGCCACTAAAGAATTTACAGTTACTAACAAATAAACAACACATCACAAAACTGTGTAGTGCAGAAATTTATCAATTTCAAGATTGATGAAACCAATTTTACTAAGGGAGTATAAAAATAAATTATATTCAGAAAGTGGGGACTTATGACTATTTGACTGCCAGTCACCTGACAATATGTGTGGTAATGTGGACAAATTCTAAACTAACTACAGGTCAAGTGCATTTCAAATGTCGGGTCATGAATCAGCAACTAATTTGTGTTACGGTCCCCACTACTGTGGACGGTTCGTAACAACGCAAAATAAAACGAGAAGTCGTAATTGTAGAGATACCGTTTCTCGTGTGTCTCTTTTGTGTGGTTTAAATTTGGAAATTATGCTCCAAATATGCAGAGAAGACAACCACCTTGAGAAAGAAAAAAACACTTAGTAAGGAATTTAATAAGTTGCACTGGATAGGGTATAAAAACAACTATGTTTTTACCTGGGGTACAAAACTGGTCAGGAGTCTTTGTAAAGGCCCCAATAACATCATTCCAACATCTTGTTACAAAACGAACAGCTGAGTTCTTATCGACGAGATGGTGACAGTTTAATATCTATTAAAGAAATGATTTAAAACATTGAGGTTGATAAATTCACCTGGTTCAAATTATGCTAACCTACAGCAATAGGATTCACTGGGAAATTTTTATTACTGAATGCATTTACAGGCGATATCGATATGTGACGTAACCTTAAACTCACTGGCTATTCGTACAATCAAGCATGCTATACGAAACTTCGAGCAAAATACTTTGTTAAAAATTTCAGCTATATATAGAGAATGGTGGTTTACGTACGTAACACTAATTGCAGTTCAGCAGGATCTTAAGTCACTTGTTGTTGAAAGAGTCAACAACTAGTGAGTTCTCATTCTGTAATCAGACAGTCGCGGATAAACTTTTAAACACGTCCTCTCTAAGAAAGTTTCATATTATGCTTGAAAATGAGCAACCTAGAGTACTGCGACTAGATTCTCGTTAGGAATGTATTAACTTATGAAATATTTACAACATATTTCGTTACTAGCTTGTCAATAACAAAACACTTTTTTATTTGTACTTATTATCTCATAAATGACTTTTAACTTTATACTTTCTGACGTGTGCTGGTGGAAGTAAAGTATGATTAGTCGTTGATTGTGGACAAAATTCCACAGCCTACAGGCTATTAAATATATGGTTTTCCTTTCAATCATTGATATTTACTCGACTCACTGTGTGTGACTGCTTGTAAGTGTATTGAATAAAGTATTATCTAGTGTTAATCTGGTTCTCTATTTTTGGGTTGCGAATCCTGGTTCTCATAACATGATTAGTCTTATAAGCGTATTATCACAACATACGTGTAACAGAGGAAAATATTGTAATCCACACGTTACATCACTTTCAAACATAAATTGATCTTGTATTGCATATGAGTTCTAAGCAATATTGATTGTTGTACTTTTAACGCACAAACAGTTGCACTTCGGCGAATCGCATTACCTGTCTAAGTTTTGGCAGCATGATAAGCGAATATATACAAACGCACATTGAATTCGTTTTTTGATGAACTGTTCCACAAAATAATTTTGAAAAATGACCTATCATCGAAATAATATAAGACTGAACAACAAAGTGGTAAGATAATAGCACTTTCATGAACCACACAATCCCAACATAAGAGAATAAAGATGTAAAGAATTATAGAAGATGGGCGCTTGTATAACTATTATACATGCATCAAAATGTAATCAACAGAATTCCATAGGATTACGGCGAAAAGTTTGTGAAAATGAGTATTTAGTCAGTCACAACGTAGAACTTCGTACGTACGTACATCATTTCGAGTTACCACACCACATTAGCACAGAGATGCAGTCGTCGATTCAAATCCCATAGTGGTAGGAGTAGACTTATGCCCCCAAATGCCCTGGTACGGTCGAGAGTGGGGAGAGTCCCCTCTCCCTCTCGAAATACTCTCATATGGCCAGCGAATATATAGCCTGTCAGGGAAGTCCTACTCACTGCCTTCTCGTGGCGGGGGTGTTGTTTACGAAAGTGAGAGGACGAAAAGCGAATGTCCGGCGCTTTAACCGGGTTGGTGGACAAGGCGAGTCCACCTAGGGGAGTTGGAAAACCCTGATTCCAAACCAATGGTGCACATGGGCTCCAGTATCCTGATGGAACGAATGGCGTATGAACCTGTCATTGGTCAACGGCTACCATGGGACTGCATCTCCTCACGATGCTCCACTGCCTTGTGGATCAGACATTCAGGTCAAAGGCTCCGGGTGTGGCCCCCTAAGAAAACCACCTGCTTCAGTCTGGGCACCTGGGCAGTATCACAGCCCTCACACAAATCGAATGAGATTTGTGAGGCGCATATTTATCTTGTGCTTCATTGTACCAATATTTATGTGTTTAAATAAATAAATAAAATAGAATGTGAAAATGAGTATTAAAAAAATCGACTTACTTTAAGACTAGCACAGACCCAAAATGTGTAACATGTGTCATCTGGTTTACCAACACGCCCATGAAATCCTTCTTCTTGTAAATTCAGTAGCCATTTAATTAATAAATTGCGTGACTTGGATCCAGCAGGAATAACTGATTCTAACTTATCGATAAGAGACAAACTGGCTACTGCACAGTAAGTAGCTCCAGCATGTGCTTCCAAATACGGTAAATTGGCGAATCCACCTTGGTAAGTCTATTGTGTGGGTAGATGAAGTTATATATATATATATATATATATATATATATAGTCATGTGGTAAAAAGTATATAAATTATGTGATTACTTAAAAAAACTGAAAAAAGTTTAAAGTACAACTAATGACAGGATGAACTCTGACATATGTAGTTAGATTGAACATTCTCTCCAATAATCAAATTACTAGCTAGTGTAATGGGACAGTTTGGTTTTAACCGTCAAACATTGTTAGGTCTGTCCTATACATGCGCTTTATTTATCGACTATTTCGATGGTAAACACGAAGCACCTTTCAAATAGGATCAGAGTATCAAATTTTTCACATGAAAATTGTTTTCAATTTGCATGAAAATTGATTTATGTGAAAAATTACACACCTGGCATTTTGCGATGAAATCAGCAACATCTTCACAATTGATAGAATCTAGTCCATCTAAAATATAACAGCTGGCAACTGCAGAAAAGACGAAACGCATATCACGTTCCCCGCATATATCTCCTGCTTTGAACAACCCAGGTTCATCCGAACACTGCATAGCCGATAATCCAGCCAGAGTTCCACGTCTGTCTACACGAGATAAGTTATCACCAAGTAACAACAACGTGGAAAGAGCTGAATAAACCATTGTTACGTGGCTTCCATCATACTTTGAACGGTCCAATTTAGCCTGAAATATGAAAAACTTTAGAGTGAGATTGGGCGGACCGAAAAAGAAATTGTAACTTGAAAAATGTAGTTTACCTTTTGGATAGGACAACAGATAAGACTACATATAGTCTACCACGCATTATTTTTAAATTTAGTTAGGGATATGTTACGAATGATTTAGTACTGAAAGGTTTATTAAATTATTCCCATTAACAGTACGACTAATCACCACTTATTAGCTATGGAACAAATTTATCGTACTATAAAAACTTGTAGAAGTTCAGTGTGTTGTTCAAAAGGGTCGGATTGATCAAGAGACCTTGGAAGACAACCGATAACATAATATACCAGTCATCTAATGCAACGAAAAATTCAGCAATAAACAAGAGTTAATTAATTTTCCTTCGATTGAAAAGGTGTAAATTTTTTTAGTTTTGAACCAATTGTCTGTTGCTAAGACAATACTTCGGAAAATATACCCTTTTTACTAAGCAAACTACGATAATATTAACTATCTGGAACAGAGTGTAGGAGCAGACACATAGATACGATTAGATTCTACGCTATTTTGATTCATCATTGATTATCATTTGCAATCTCCAGAAAAAAAACAGTAGTCTCGACTGCTAGGAGCTTACAAGAGAAATACCGAAAGAGCACTAGATTCTGGAAACTTTAAATCATGATGAGAAGCAAAATATAAGCTTAATTCAAATTGACATAAAATAATTTTATTATCAGTATAGAGTTGCGGAAATTAGTAAGCAATGGAAGCGCAAACTGCTGATTTAATATTTATTTCTTTGAACACATAAATATTGGTACAAGCGGGAACCAGACATATATGCACAACACAAAAAATTGCCATTTCATTAAATTCTGTGAGGGTTATGATACTGCCCGTGTGCTCAGACCGTAGCAGCAAACTGCTGAAGAGTTCATTGGTTAAGGTACAATTTTTCTTTTGATGTCGTATGCGCTGAAAATAGTAAACATCAATTTCATTTATTTCCACTAACTGCCTTCTCGTGGCGGGGGTGTTGTTTACGAAAGTGAGAGGACGAAGAGCGAATGTCCGACGCTTTAACCGGGTTGGTGCACATAGGGAGTTCACCTAGGGGAGTTGGAAAACTGATTCCAAACCAATGGTGTACATGGGTTCCAGTATCCTGAGGGAACAAATGGCGTACGAACCAATCGTTGGTCTCCGGCTACCATGGGACTGCATCTTTTCACGATACTCCACCGCCTTATGGATCAGACCTTTAGGTCAAAGGCTTCGGATGTGGCCCCCTAAGAAAACCACCTGCTTCAGTTTGGGCACCTGGGCAGTATCACAGCCCTCACACAATTAGATGAAATGACATTTTTTGTGAGGTGCATATGTATCTGTTAACCCTCTGTACCAATATTTATGTTTTAATAAATAAATTCCACGATGGCTTTCAGAAATAACCGTCCTATTTAGAATGCATATACCTGCACATTACTACATTCACACAGTACTTGTTAAGTGGTATGAACATTTTATTATCGATTGTATTAAAGTAAAAGCCCTCGGGGACTATGATATATGACAAGAGCAGTTAAGTAAATGTCCGTTTTTTATCGATTATAAACTTTAACATTATGGATCCTGATTTGATGGAGAGTTCACTAAAATTACGAACCCAATTACGTTTTTTAGTAATCAAGCTACTTATAATCGAGGAAATCTCCCTTGAATTCAATATTTCGAAACGCCTAATCATGATTTATACTTAAATTTATATTTTCCAAAAATACGAATTTATCGAACCGCCTGAAATTTGCAATCGTGAGAAACGCTCCACAAGACCACGTAAAAAGGAAATATTAATTTTACTATAATAGAGAAAGCCTAGACTAGTGAATAAACACATAACAAATACTTATGTTTTAGCAGCATTCTAAATCAGGGTATTTGGAGTTTATTTTGAGAGAATATAAGTACTATACAGTGGAGAGTTATTCTGAAAGTGGATATCCATTGGTGATTGATAAGTAAAATTCAAGCAGGCAAAAATCCAGATATCCATGAGTATCAAGCTAAGCGTTCTTGGCCGCAAGGCCAACCTGATGTAATAGGTAGATAGATAAACATAAAGTTTGCTGAGGAGCTGTTTGATGACTGAAATTTGCATAGCAGTCCAACTTCATGGACGTAAAATACCTCACATAAGATGGGCTGTGAACAAGCTCCATGACTAGAAAACTTGATAGTAGATACAGGAAAGAAAAATGACATCAAACTACACATATAGATGTCAACAATTTTGCTCAACATTAATGGGATTTACTCGGAAACTTTAGCTAGATTTGTATTCATTTAACTAGAGTCTTACTTCCTCAGGATCTGAAGAACAACCGATGAGATTTGAACCTCTGAATCCACCTTTCTTATCTTGGAAGTCTGAAAATTAATACAGAATATTATAATAAAACCAACCAGAGGACAATATTTGGTGAGAGTACACGAACTCTATGATTTCATTTCTATCCACAATGTCCAATGCATCTAAAAAAGCTAAGCCACTGGATGCGAAAAATAAAACTACAATCCTTTAACAAATTTTCACTATCAGAAGGACATCAAACCTAGATGAGTCAAGAGAAACCATAGAATAAGGAAGTATTCCAGTGCATCTCTTGAAGTAAATCTTCAGCTTCTGCCGAACTTTATTATCAGAATCGCAGACCATTAAGTCATAATTTGATAATGCCTTAATGAATACCTAACTTAGTGACCTTGATATGACATTCAATTCTGCACAAGAAGGTAACTCGATTCCTTACAAAGTTCAATTTGGATGAGATTGTAATAAAAGTCGTTCAACCTGTGGTTTTCCTGGTACTTATTTCCGTTTCAAGTCTTGACAAAAGGAAGAAGAGACAGTCATTAGGTCTGTATCTTCGTCACATATTGAACACCTCAGACAAGGGAGTTGAGGAATTTTTATTTAGAAGAATTATAGTGCATCAAGGTGAAGGTCGATATTCTTCTGTATTCATATATATAAACTCTTACTGACAACTAGAGCAACAATTTATATATGTATTTACATATGATGTCCTAATAATATTGAGGACATACAGGAACAATCTAATGACTACGTAAACGAGGAGATATAACTTCACTATGATCGGAGTCAGTGGAACCCACAGGACCCATGTTTAACAGAAACAATAAGATTCGCAAGAAATCATACATTCTGATGATGAAGAAATGAATGGCTCGCATATACAATGAGTTGCACTGATACTGTCCACAGAAGCGAAACAGGAGGTTATAAGATGCGTATCACACGGATCCAGAAGAGTCAGATCATCCTTCAAAACAAAAGTAAATGAATTGCAATGACTGTTAACAAAAGCTATGAAACAACCAAAGATGACAACGATAAAAATAAACAGACGTTCGATTGGAGAATGCAATCGACCATAGCAAGGTGCACGAACAACGACCTAGACATACGGAAGGGAGAACTAAAATCCAAAGTCGGAATACGATATATGAAAATGTGCAAGAAACTAATAACTTTGATGATGCAACGGATGTTCTAAATTTACAACTAGTTACCAGTAGCACCTTCTATGGTCGATCGTTCCCAGTCAGATAGAAATCAGAAGTCAGACGAGAAGAGGCAAGAAAGATATATTTGATTCGTTACCAATATATCGAGAACATTTTCTATGAGCTGGCTAATGAAACGTAGGGGCTGTGTCCCACGCCGAGTCGAAACGTGATCTGGTGCGGATGCATGACCGAAAGCCTTCAGCTAAACAAGTCCACTTAAACAACATGATCAGCATCCAATTTCGAACACTTAATGAACTATTGATTTTGGGGAATTATTTACAGCTACAGATCACTCCCCCCCCTAGTGAGGTAGTGATGCCCCTAAGACGTGACCAGCCAGAAGTTTAAACCCAACGAGTTTGTCGTTGGTAAACACTCTTCTGATAGCTTGCTTCGTTTAGCAGCCTCTGGTCGTCTTTCCTTAAACTATGGGACCAAAATGTACAACATAGCAATAAAGAAATATAGTACAATGAAAATTTCGGCTCCTTGCGAAACTTCGTCGTTCTTTTCCAGCCATCCTGGAAAAGAGAGAAAATAAAACGTGTCAGTGCATGTCGAAAATACACTCGTACTTGCGTAGGGACACAAGATGAGCGGGAAAAAAATAAACTGATACACTTACCAACAGCGTAAAAGCGATCAGGAAGTGTTGTTTTTTGTTTTTTTATATATAATATATATATATATATATACGCTCAAAAAAAAGATAAAAAATGTTTTGTTTTTTTTGTTTTTTTATATAAATAAAAAAATGAGCATATAAAAAAAAATTTTTTAATAATAAACTATGAAAGGGTAATTCAAGATAAAGCTTATGTCCTACGTGCAATATTCGTTAAGATGTTCTGGAAATCTTACTCGTCTTCCAGAACGCGTTATTTTAGGTTTACCTATCGTTGTTGACGAAGTATAAAGTTGTGTGTCGGTTGTCGTGTAGAGTACTACGAGTGTAGTGGCTGTGTCGTTTTCTTGTACCGAAGTAAAATCGACGTAGCTAGGGTTTCCTTCTAAGTACTCTGCTTTGAGTCGACCGATACTGATGCTATCGTTCGTACCGTTCTTATCCAACACATAGTACTTAGGTTCGCGTTGAAGAACTTTGAAGGTTCCTTCGTATGCGGACTCGAGGGGTCGTCGATGTGAGTCTCGACGAACGAAGACGTGTGTACTATGTCGTAATTCGGGTTGAACGAAAACATCAGTTGATTGAGGTCGAGTGTGAGCAGGTTTAACTGAACGCATAGCGTTTGTAAGCTTACTCGTGTAAAAGTTTAGATCCATGTTCAATGAAGAAGCTGAAGGATCCACGAATTCTCCTGGGAGTGTCGTTCCGTAAACGAGTTGAGATGCCGTGTATCCAATGTCAGCTTTCACTGCATTGCGGATGCCTAGCAAGACGAGTGGAAGAGCGTCTGTCCACTGTGAAACGTTTGAAGCTGATAATGAAGCTTTTAGTTGTCGGTGAAAACGTTCTACCAACCCGTTTGCTTGTGGGTGGTAGGCGGTCGTTCGGAAGCGCGTGATTCCTAAAAGTGAGGTGAGACAACGGAAATGTCCAGATTCGAATTATAGTCCGCGGTCTGTAGTGATTGTGGAAGGGCAGTCGAAATTTGCTGCCCATCGTTCGACGAAAGCACGGGCCACGGTTTCAGCATTAATGTCCTTAATTGGTACTGCTTCTGGCCATCGAGTGAAACGGTCTACGCATGTTAAGAGATATGAGTATCCGTTCGAGTCGGGTAAGGGTCCTACCAAATCTATATGGACGTGGTCGAAACGAGCGTTAGGGTTTTTGAAAGAACCTAAGGGTCATTTATTGTTTATGATTATCTTAGGTTTCTGACAGCTTACACAGGAGCGTGCCCACTCCATCACGTCTTTATTCATGCCAGGCCAACAAAAGCGTTCGGCTATAAGTTCCATTGTTGCACGAGCACCTGGATGAGAAAGATTGTGCAACGTATTGAAGACGTTGCGGCGATAATGTTTTGGTACAATTGAACGATCCCTACCTGTAGATGTGTCACAGAGTAAGGTTTCCTTACCTGTTCCCATCTGCTTAATACTTAGCTTTAGAGTTGTCGAGGATAACTCATGCTGAAGATCAATGTCTTCTTTTTGAAGCTGAGCGAGTTTAAGAAGGTCGATTCCTTGGAAACTTCAAGGAATTTATTCGAGACAAGGCGTCTGCGACTACATTGTTAGCTCCAGAAATATGTTGTATGTCTGAAGTAAACTGCGAAATGTAGTCGAGTTGTCGAGACTCTCGCGGTGAGTACTTGTCTGAAGATGAAGTTAAAGAGAAGGTAAGAGGTTTGTGATCGGTAAAAAGCGTGAATTCTCTTCCTTCGATGGAATGTTGGAAATGCCGTACAGCACAATACATAGCTAGGAGTTCCCTACCGAACGTGCTGTACCTAGATTCTGCGTCTAGCAACCGTCTCGAAAAAAGTCCTAAAGGTTGCCACGAGTTGTTAACCCATTGTTGTAAGACTGCTCCGATTGCTGAGTCGGATGCGTCTACGGCGATACTAATGGGCGCTTGAGTGTCCTGATGAGTAAGCAAGGTTGCTTTAGCGATGTGTTCCTTAACTGTGGAAAATGCTTTACGGGCTATGTCGTCTAAACTAATTGATTTCGCATTACCACGAAGCTGATCGGTTAACGGTTTCATAAGGGATGCGCATTTGGGTATGAACCGTCTAGGGAAACTTACAAGTCCGTTAAAAGTTCGTAACTGCTTGATCGTGGTCGGTTCTGGGTAATCCAGAATGGCCGCCACTTTGCTCCTAAGGGGTCGGATGCCTTGGGCATCAATGGTGTGTCCTAGGAAGTCTAAGGAGTTTGTTCCGATTTGGAATTTCTGTATGTTGACAGTAATGCCATGCCTTTGGAGTCAATCGAAAACAATGTCCAGATGCTTGAGATGCGATTCTCTGTCCGAACTTGCTATTAGACAGTCATCAACATACGCATGTACGAAGTTGAGACCTCAGAAGACGTCGTCTATAAACCTTTGGAAGGTTTGAGCCGCGTTTCTTAAACCAAAAGGCATTCGTAGAAATTCGTAAAGACCGAAGGGAGTGATGATGGCGGTTTTAGGAATGTCGCCAGGTGCCATCGGGATTTGGTTATAAGCGTTAACTAAGTCGATTTTCGCAAAGATAGTTGTACCTTTCAATGTAGCTGTCAAATCGTGAATATGAGGCAGCGGGTAACGATCGGGAATGGTTTTAGCATTCAGACGTCGATAATCACCAGTTGGCCGCCAATCATTGCTGTCCTTTTTAGGGACCATGTGCAATGGGGATGACCATGGACTATTCGATGGTCGAATTATTCCTAGGTCCATCATGTGGTCGAATTCGTTTTTAGCTAACTTAAGCTTCTCGGGAGCGAGTCTTCGAGCTTTCGAAAATACAGGTGGTCCTGTAGTCGTGATGTGATGTGTAACATTGCTGGTTACACAAGGCAATTTCGATTGCGATTGGTATATCCCGGGGTATTTGTCGAGTACTGATTGGTACAAGGGGTCTATGGTGTGCTTAATTGTGACTGGGGATAACCTGCAACCAGAACAAGGAGTTACGCTAACAGATAACTTAGTGTTTCCGTCTATTAACTTTCGTGAGCGTGTGTCGATGAGTAGGTTGTGGTGTTGTAACAGGTCTATACCAATGATTGGCATAGAGACATCTGCAACCACGAAAATCCAGTGTATGGGTTTGCGTAAACCCACGTTAAGGTAGACGTACCTTTTACCGTAAGTAGCGATCGGCTTTCCGTTTGCCGCCTGTAAACTTAAAACAGACTCGCGAAGTCTGTCGTCGGGATTTGCTGGAAGAACGCTAACTTCTGCGCTAGTGTCGACGAGGTAGCGAACTTTCGTAGTCACATCCGTGACGTATAACAGACGGCTGTGTTCGCCGGCTACGGTTGCCGTTAACGCGTGCCGGCTGGGAAGTTTCCCGAAATCTTATTCGTGTCAGTCGATTTTGATGTCGGATAATTGCAAGGTTTCCTGCAATTTCTGGAAAACTTACCGTACTGGTTATGATACCAGCACCAGTCGGGATTGTCTGTCTCTCGTGGTCGAGAGCCAGATCGCTTACGTGAGGC